GGGGGGGCCCCCCGGGGCCCCCCCCCCCTGTGTTCCTGCGGTGCGGGGGGGTGGTGTGGGGGGGGGCCCCCCGCGTGCAGCTGCTGCTGCAGCAGGGGGGCCCCCAAGACCTGCAGCAGCAGCAATTGGGAATTCCTCTCTTTCCTTATTCCACTTCTCTCGGGGCCATGACCACTGCCAGGGCCCTCGGCATGATCTCCGACACGGACCTCGCAGAGTTCGCGCTTCTAGTGAGCAGCAGCAGCAGCAGCAGCAGCAGCAGCAGCAGCAGCAGCCGCAGCAGCAGCAACAGCAACAGCAGTTGCAGTTGCAGCAGCAGCAGTGTTGTTGTTAATGTTCTTGTCGGAGTTGGGGGGAGAGGGATGGTGTGATAGATAGTGGCACTAGTAGTAATACCAGCAGCAGCCGCAGCAGCAGCCGCAGCAGCAGCAGCAGCAGCAGCAGCCGCAGCAGCAGCAGCAGCAGCAGCAGCAGCAGCAGGAGGAGCAGGAGGCGTCTTGTGGGGTGTTTGCGTGCAGGTGGGCCGTGCGGAGCGCAGCTACCTGCCGCCGGGGCAGCAGCAGCAGCAGCAGCAGCAGCAGCAGCAGCACCCGCGTGCTGCTGCTGCTCTTCTTTACGACGCTCGTGCTGCTGCTGCTCTCTTTCCAATTCCTGCTGCTGCGCTGCTGGCCTTCGAGCGGCTGCGGCAGCAGTCTCTCTTAAGTGCTGCTGGCCGCGCAGCCTTTGCTGCCAGATGTTCTCAAGACCTTCTCCAGAAAGTGTGGGGCCCCCCGGGGGCGGGGGCCCCCTCGCTGCAGTTGCTGCGAAGGTCTGCAGCCTCAAAGAGACTTTGGAAAATGCTTGTGTGGCCCCGCAGCAGGAAATGGAACTTGCTGCAGGGACTGTCTCCTTTTTGGCCAAAAGTCTGGGAGCTGACAGCTGCAGCAGCAAACCAGGGGCCCCCTTGGGGCCCCTGGGGGCCCCTCCGGGGTTCGGGGCCCCCGCGGCGCCCCTGGGGCCCCCCGCGGGCCACCTGGGGGCCCCCAGAGGCTTCTTGGGGGCCCCCGAGGGCCTCCTGGGGGCCCCCTGGGGGCCCCTGGCGCTGTACCTGCGGGAAGTCTGTGGGGCCCACCCGGCGCAGTGCGCCCAGGCCTTAGAAATAGTGCGGGACTTGGGGGCCCTTGCGGGGGCCCACAAGGGGGGCCCCCTAGCTGAGGGGGCCCCCCTGGCTGAGGGGGGCCCCCCTCTGTTTCTCAAGTCTGTGGGGCTGCCGCTGATCAAAAACCCTAATAAACTCAGTGAGAATCCAGCCCCTGCTGCTGCTGCTGCTGCTGCTGGTTATGATGGTGCTGCTGCTGCTGCTGCTGGTTATGATGGTGCTGCTGCTGCTGCTGCTGCTGCTGCTGCTGCTGGTTATGATGGTGCTGCTGCTGCTGGTTATGATGGTGCTGCTGCTGCTGGTTGTGGTGGTGCTGCTGCTGCTGGTTATGATGGTGCTGCTGCTGCTGCTGTGCTGCTGTTGCTGCTGCTGCTGCTGCTGGTTTGAAGCACGCTGGCACTTTGTGCCTTTAAATGCTTTAAATGCATTTATAATTTAATTTGTAGAATTGCAAATTTGTGAAAAGTTTAAGTTCGCTGCGCTTCTTGGGGTGTACAGACACCTGAATGCGCATGCAGTGTATCTGAACACTTGAAGGAGTTTTTTTTTCTTTTTTTTCGCGATTTGTTTTATTTTGGAGATTAATTTGATTTAATTTACAAAATAAATAAATAAATAAACATTAAATGACCTTTTGCATGCGTTTCTGCAGTCGAAGTGGCACTTTCCTACCAAAAACTTGCTGCTGCTCTAGTGCAGCAGCCAACAAGAAGCAGCAGCAAATGGCCAGAGTTTTGCTGCTGGGCGGAGACAGAAAAGGAGTTGCTGCTGCTGCAGCAGTGCTTCTGGCCGCTGCTTGCGCAGGTGCTGCCGCCCCCAGAGCCCGCAGCAGCAGCAGCAGCAGCAGCAGCAGCAGCAGCGCCAGCAGCAGCAGCAGCAGCAGCACCTGCAGCAGCAGCAGAACTCACCTTCCTGCAGCTGCCCCTCAAAGGAGGCCCCCGCAGAATACAAAGACACATTCCCGTCTACAGCAGCAGCTAAAAGGAGACAAAAAGAATTAATTAAAACATTTAATCTAATTTAAAAAAGCATTTATTCTTTTTCTCATTTCTCCTTTTAATTTGTTTATTTATTTTATGGGCCCCCGGGGCCCCCCAAATCCTTTAAACCCTTTTTTCGACAAACACGAACTCTACGCTTGCCAGCTGTCTGTACACCCCACACTCAATTGGGGGGCCCCCAACAGGGGCCCCCTCTTTGGGGGCCCCTAAAGAGGGGCCCCTCAATTAGAGGCCCCTAAAGAGGGGCCCCCGAGTTAGGGGCCCCTAAAGAGGGGCCCCTGAGTTGGAGGCCCTTAAAGAGGGGGGGCCCCCAAAGAGGGGGCCCCCATAGAGGGGCCACTTGAAAGGGGGCCCCAAAGAGGGGCCCCTAAAAAGAGGGTCCTGCAGAGGGGCCCCCAAACAGGGGCCCCTAAAGAGGGGCCACTTGAAAGGGGGCCCTCAGGAGGGGCCCCTAAAGAGGGGCCCCCTAAAGAGGGGCCCCTCTAAAGGGGCCCCCAAATGGGTGGCTCTAATAAGGGGCCCCAGGGGACCCCTTTTGGGGGCCCCTAAAGAGGGGCCCCTACAAAGAGGGCCCTTAAGGGGGCCCCCAGTGGGGTC